CTGATTAAGTGATCTGCTGTAGGCTTATGGAGTTCTGTAGCCCACAAGGAGTGCCCTCACTCAAATTAAGGAGAGGGCATAATATAGCACACAGTGTTTCCCTTTCATCAAAGATAATGGAAACAGCCTGAACACACAGGAGCTCCTTGCAGGTGTAAAAGTACACAGAGCTCTGTATCCGGATGATAAAATGTAGGGATGAAAACATCCGAAGGCTGCAGTCGTATGCACATTATCCTGGGAGCTACCCACTGAATACAGTGGGACCTACTTATAAGTAAACATGCATGTGATTGAGCTGCACAAGTCGAACGCCTTCAGAGCCCTCAAGACAGACAGAAATTAAGTAACATCCCATCATGAAACAGGGTATAAATGTAAAAACATAACTAATGAGCAACATCATTCTGACTTGCAATTCTGTTTGTTTGCACTGATGTTACAAGTTATGCAGCTGTTTGTTTTCCTCTAATAACATTTTTTTCTTTTTTTAAAAATTGGGGCAGCATAGAGAATATGGATTCGCTATAGAAAATGAAGCATATGTTTGCATTTGCCAAAGGTCACTGATAGAGTGCATTTGCTGCAATTGTGGCAGCTTTAGAGAAATACTGTAGGTTATGACTTAAAAGTTTAAAAACAATTAAGAAGGTTACAGTGTAACTATTTTGGTACTAGCACCAGTTCATGCTGGCAGAAGAGACAATGGTTTATGGACTTGCATCCGTTTTGTATTTTTGTAATATTTGTAAATATGAACTTCTTAAATTGTTGCAAAGATGGTTTCTTTTGTAAAATGTTTTCAAAGTTTACATTAAATCCAAGCCTTTGTATATTTTAGAGCTGTGCAACACTTTAAGTCTTGTATTTATTTTTAGTAAAAACAGTGACAGTTTCATTGTGATCCCCTCTCTAAAGCGTGTCAGAAAAGTTTGATTATCTAGAAAGCGTGTATAGAAATGGCAAATAAACGTGACTGCAATTAAACTGCTCAATTCTCTTTACTTACTTCTATTCACCATTAAAAAGCTCTGATGGATTTTTAATTGTTCATCCCCTACAGTTTTTCTCCAGCAGCTGGTATTTCACAGAAGCTATTTCTTTAAGAAGTCACATACAGCCTTTCAACACCAGTGATAGTCTGGTCCACCATAAATCTTTATAATTCCCTTCTAAAGTCATCTATGGTAAGGAAGAGAACTCCACAAATTAAATGCAGACTGTTCAAAGCCTTTTTCCATATGTTCATATATTCTTTTCCTACTATTATAATGCAGGTATAATGTCAATGGTTGTTAGACAAGGAAGCTGATGTCAAACTTCAACTCAGCCACAAAGTATACGGAGTGACTTTGGGTCTGTTACCATCTTTCAGCCTAGCTTGATGCATTTACAAAAATGTGCATACAAAACTGAATTAACTCAAAATTGAATTAAAAGGATAGCTGTTAGCAATCCTTTTATTTATTTACAGTGGGTATGTCACCTGTTTTGAATGGTTTGCTATGTCTGTGAAAAAGTTGCAACTTAATAAGCATAAAAACAACAAATAAGGATTAATCTATCTCATGTGGTTGTTGTCAGGAAAAAAAGAATTGTGAGATAAATTCTGTACCCTGCTCTGAGCTCCTTGGACAAAAGGCAGGATTTAAAAAATGATCAAAACAACAAAAAGATAATGCACTTCTAAAAATAAATTGTACCATAACAGGGAGCTGAGGAAATGATTTCTTCAAAAGATTCTTATAATTGAATCCTTAAATTACCTTTCCAGGATATACATCCTTCAACACTTGTATAATTATCCTTTATATAATACAATCAGTATAAACAATGCTTTTGATAAATAATCATCATTGCCGTAAATATTGATATAGGTCATTGACCCACAGAACAGGAATATAGAAGGGACTTTTCAGTGGTTGTACCCAAGTTTTAAACACCTCTTGAAAACACACGTATTCACACAGACTATGCCTGCCCTGTAATGGTTTCTAATATTCCAATTATGTAGTGGTCCCAGCAGGAGTTAGAAACACAAATCACCAGCTATGCCCATAAAAGAAGATTGCTTCTGCCTGCCACTAGATTGGAGGATTATCTCAAAAATTGGATCCATATCATTCTAAAAGTTAAAGTCTGCTTTTCCATGGAAAGGACCTACAACCCCTGCCAAATCAAGATCATATGGTGCAGCACCCTAAAGTAGGGTCTACCTAGACCAGCATTCCATTTCCCATTGTGAATAGCCAAATACTTTTGGGAAATTCAAAGGTAGGGCATTCATGTTAATAATTCTCCCCAGTGGTTTCTCTCAGCAAATAGTTTTCAGAAACATACTGAATAACTCATTGACTATCACAGCTATTAGCTTCTGCTAAGGCTCAGAAGAGGAGAAAGAGGAGATGTCTAAGCCCTACTCTAAATCCACTTAAGCTTTAGGCAGTCATCACATCTTGTGGCTGCAGCACTGAACTCCAAACGTTAATCATACATTTTATGAAGCAGTACTTTTTGTCTACCCCAAATCCACCCCCAGTTGATTTAACAAGGAGGCCCTGAATTCCAGTATTGTGAGAGAGAGAAACATTACTTTTCTTTTATAAAATTCTATTGCATCCCCACCACCACCTTTAAGTCACTTTTTTCTAAGCTGTACAACCTTAATCCTATAAATCTCCATCATTTGGAAAGCACCTTTTCTAGCTGCTGTGTCCTTGAGCGACCATAACTGTAGCCGGTATTCCAAATGCATCTGCTTTGTGAATTTACTGTGATGCTGGTAGGTGGACAGAAAATGATGCACAGCATCAACCACTTATATAAATCTGCATGCTACACTACATCTTAAGAGCCAGCACGGGTAATGGCTAGAGTACTGGACCAGGAATGCAGAGATCAAGGTTCAAGTCTCCACTCACCATGAAGTTCACTAGATGACTTTGGGCCAGTCACAGACATTCAGTTTAAACTACAGTGGTACCTTGGCTCATGAAAGCTTTGGTTCACAGCCAAAAAGGTTCACAAACAAAAATGTCAGAAAATTTTAACTCAGGTTGCGAACTCCACATTGGGTGGTGACCATGATCACAGCCGTCTCCCCCTCCCCTGAGTGGGGAGATGGCTGCAATCGTGCTGGGGGCGGGGGGAGATGGCCAAGATCGTGCCCATCTTTCTTGCAGGAGCGCACCCATGATTGCGTCTGTCTTTCCTGCAGGAGTGCAACCGCGATCTCAGCCATCTCTCCCTCAGCAAGACTGCGCCCGCCTCCCCCCCATGCACCCGCGTTCACGCCTGTCTCTCTCCCCCACGGCACACCCCATTTGCGCCTGTCTCTTCCCCCTCCCCATGAACGTGCCGGGATGACAGGCACGTGCAGGGATGACAGGCAGTGGGGAGATGGCCGCACGTGTGCTCGGGGGGGGGGGGGAGATGGCCATGGTCTTTGTTGTTCTTTGTCACTTTGCTTCACATTTTTCTGATTAAAAAAAGTAGTCACAGAACGGATTAACCTTATTTACATTGAACCTTATGGGGAAATTTAACTTGGCTCATGATCATTTTGGGTCACGACCAGAGTCCTGGAATGGATTACGTTTGTGAGCCAAGGTACCACTGTACCTCACAGGGTTATTGTGGGTATAATCTGCAAATGAGGAGGTTCACATGAGAAACTTTGGGTTCCTTGCAAGAGGGGAAAAAAAAGCAGGATATAAATTTATTTTAAAAGTAATAATTATCATTTGAGGTCCTTCCTGAAACATTCCCATGTTCTGTTAACTCTCTCCCACTTTTCAGTCCTGAGAAATGCCTTCTGTTCTTTTAAACCACAACTTAAAAACTGATACCACTTATAAGAAGCCCACAGGATCTGGCTAGTGTTTAATTGCAACTATTTAGCAATGAAGCATGAAATCACTACCAAAAGATCTTCATCACTAGATATTTAATTCTATACATGCAATATTCCCCTTTGCCAGGTGTGCAGCACCATATAAAGCCAGGAGCTTCCCACTGGGCCTCTCATTCAAGCAATTTTAGGTGAGCGTGTTTTTAACGGCAGTCCACAGAGACACTGTGGGCAGCACTGGCTTCGATGGAGCACTTTCCTTTTTCTCACAGCACACGTGCCCCTTCTAAGCTGACGCCGTATGTGCATCGTCAAACGTGAAAGGAAGGCTGCTCCCGAAGCGCTACGCGCAATCAGCCAGCGGACTCATCAGCTCGGCCAGCTCCTCGCACCTGCGCATGCATCCCTGCAACACGCATGACGCAAAGCCAAAGGAGCGCCGAGATCCCCGATGACCGGCAACGCCAACCAAGACTCCGTGTCGGAGAAACTGCGCGCGTTGAAGTCTCCGCTTGTTGCGTGTCATTGGAAGGCACGGAAACTCTACCCCGGATGCGGGTGCGGAGAAAGAAGGTGGCCACTTTCTGAAAGTCCGGGAAGTTGAGGGATGAGGAGGAACACATCCCAGGGGTCGCCAGGAGGCCACCGCCACAAGCCCGTGCAGACACCGCTTCCACGCGCCCTCCCTCCGACGCCCGTTTCCTCACTGCGCAGCCGCGCGGCTAATCGCAAGCGTTTGAGCCGCTCGCCGCCGGAGCCGCTTCCGCGTCCCCATCGCACCCGCACTCGGCACGCGCGCTCCGGTCCGGCTCCAGCGGAGCCGCTGCTTGCCTCGCGGACTCGCCGCGCCGGGACTGCCCTCCGCCCCGCTCCGCACCACGATCTCGTCCTGCTGCCTTTGGCGACACGTCCGCAAAAAGGTACGGCTCCAGGAGGGACGTTCTGGGAGTCCGGCCGCCCGGCCGCATGCGCAAACGAGAAACGCTCCTCCGTCGTTGCCAACGGCTGGACGCACGAACGCTCGTTTGCCAGAGTAGAGCCGTTTTCAGGGCAACTCTGCCCTATCGCGCAGCTATTGGCCGGCTCTCTGCGCGCGTGGTTGCTATTGCTTGCTACTCCTGGCCGTCACCGGTACGTCAGTGGTTGATCCAGCTTGGTGTGGGGAGAGAGCGGGGCTGCCTGTGATTACCCGGTCGGGGAAACAAGGCGGGAATTAATAAGCTTTTTTCCGGGAGTGAAGGATAACTCGTTCAACGCTTAAGGCTACGGTCCCGTGCACGTTTAGGCAGAACAGTCCTACAATTCCCAGCATTCCCGTGGCTGGCTGACGAATGCTGGGAGTTGTAGGATTTTTATTGAGTCCGTACGTGCATAAGATTACGGCCTGAGAAAATTAATGATCACAAGTCTCTCATAGCCATGTAAACCACCAAATCTGTGCGTGGCCTCTTAGAAGTAAATCTTGCTGAATCAGCCTGTCTGTCTGTCTGTCTTATGCCGTCACAGCCCGACAAATTGCTGAGTCAACAACAAGAGCTGGGCAGAACATTGATCTCCAGATGTTGAGGACTTCATGTCTCAGCATTCCTGGTCTTTGGCTATGCTGGTGGGAGCTTCCAGGAATTGGTGCCATCTGGAGATCTACTTTCTGCCCATCCCTGCTGTACAGGATTGTAGTGCCCATCCCTCCTTATGGTTCCATTGCAATGTTTACAAACAAAATTGAAAGTGAAACTGGTGCTTAAGTTACTGTTGTTTCTTCATTTGTAAGTTGTCTTGAAAATGATAACAATGTAAAAACATTAGATAAGCAAGCTGTGATCAAAAGAGGCAACATTTGCAACATTTAGGAATCAATCCTATGCATGTCTAGAGAGAGAGAAAGCCTTACAACTTTTAGTATTCTCCAGACAACCACAAGAGTGGTAGCGTTTTTTTCTCTCTAAAGGTGTGCAAGGTTGCACCACTACTATTGTATTTCTGACCCATAAAGTAGGGATAGCTACTTTCAGGGCCTCCTTACCACATGGCGAGAATGAATCACCAGGACCCACAGGGAAGATTGAATTGCCTTGAACCGCAGCAGTTTTATTGAAAGATCACCCAGGATGATAGCACAGATGATGGAAGAGCAAGTATCATCAAATTCAGTCACACTGAGTTAAGTTTGTTTATTCTTAAGTTATTCAATATTTGAGGGTTATGCAGAGTTCAGAGCACTGAGCCTTTCTTCACCTTTTTCAACATTTTACAAACAATTCTATTGTCATTATGATAGATACGCTGTATGTTCCAAGGTGATGTTCTATACTATACAGTTTGTACATTGTTCTATAGATTTCCCTCAAGAAGGACCTTCATATGAACTGAAATAGTTTGCCACTGCTTCTTCGGAGTTAAGCACTCCCTTTGCTTACTCCATTACTTTTGCCTTTCTTGGTTGAATATCTCATTTTGTTGACATTATCATAGATGACAAGTAACTATCTCTGCCCATTGTAAAATAAACTGTGTAAAGCCACCATTAACAATACAAAATGGCTTCAGTACTTAGGAAGCATAGAGAGTTGTGGATTTGGGTGGGTGATGTCCAGAAAATGTGTGTGTTATTTCTGTGCTATAGCAAGACTTTTTTTTAGTACTGCAGTCACTTAGAAGCAAAGAGAAAGGAAATACGTTGGCACTCAAGGGCCAGTTTATTCTGCCATATCTGTAACAAAACTATTTCTCCCTTTCAGTTATAGGCTATTTTAAAAAAAATCTATAGGATTTACACAACAGGAGTACTACACTTCATATGTGACCTACTCATGCTTTGCATGAGCCTAGAATTTCCAAGTGACCATAAAAAATATTGGCTATGGCTACTGCTGTGTGTTTAACAGTAGCTTGATTTGCAGAAATCAGGTGGTGATGAAGCTTTATAAGGAAAGAATATAAATATTATATATTGTGAATATTTAGAAATAAAGGAACATAAGAACTGTACTCGATGAGATCATGGGTCCATGTTGTTCAGCATTCTGTGAGTCCAGTTGCAAGGTTATTAAACCTCCACAGATCAGCTATTGCTCAGAGACAGAAATGCAGACTTTGAGCATTGTGCAAGGTTGAGAGTTTTCTCTTATGGCAATTCATGAGTTAGCCTCATTTGTTTGTTTCTATTTTTTCTTTAACATAACCCTATGTTAAATTCTCCTTCATGGATCACTGCTTTGTTGTGGCGAAGCTATGAGCTATGGCGTGCAGGGCCACTCAAGACAGACAGGTCATAGCAGAGAGCTCTGACAAAACGTGATCCACTGGAGAAGGAAATGGCAACCCACTCCTGTATCTTTGCCATGAAAACCCCATGGACAGTACCAAAAGGCAAAAAGATATGCCGCCGGAAGATGAGCCCCTCAGGTCGGAAGGTGTCCAATATGCTACTGGGA